AAAGTCTCAGCTGAAAAGACCGGAGTCGGGATTGTCCGCACAGAGCGAGGCACTGTCAACAAAGTCTCAGCTGAAGCGATCAGAGATAGAAGAGACTTTATCAGCTGCCAGCAATGAAAAGGAAGATGCATCTTCAAATCCACAAAAAACATACCTGTGATATGAGCCACAACAGAAGGAATACTTGAATGTACTAGGTTTGTGTACACAATTCAGTTTGCTGTTCAGTTAATAGTTTTTAGGATTCTTTTAAGATAAGACTTCAGTCTGTTCTTCTTTCTTTTTTAAGTATTCAATATGAAGGAAGACAAGCTGTATTTATTTGTTAAATGCACTTGAAACTGACTAAAAAGGCAGCAACAACAAATATAGCAAGCAGATATTTGTTTTCATTTATTAAAAATAGCAAACTTCAACAAACATGTCAGTGTAAAATGTGATGAGCTGTTTCTTTGTGTATGAATGCACTGAATATTGACAAATGTTGAACTTTACCATTTTTGGGGGTTTGGCTTTTGCTGGACTCACAAAAACTTGAATAATTTATGACTCATGAAGGAAGATGCATATTTGTACTGTACATTTTCACTTTTTAAAAACATTTATAGATGAAACACATAGAAGACCATAAAAAATCCACATGTTGCATTAAGTTACTCTGGCACAACAATTTCCTGCGGGATCAATAAAGTTTTATCATATCTCTTATCTTAAGTTGTTTTCATTGATCCTTAGAAGAGGTTTCTGTAGATTTAGCCTTTGTGAAATCATCACTTTTATTGAACTTTGATTTTATTTAAATACGTCACTCACATTCTTTGTACACTTGATATTCAATAAATGACATATGACAAGCTGAGGATTTTTTAAAACACTTTTTTTTTTAACAAACATGCATGACAACATAGTTTTTCAGAAGCCCCCCTGGAGCCACCGTCTGCCCGACTCGAACAAGTCACAAGACAAACTGGTTCGACAGAGAGTTGGATCACAGCAAAGCTTTGTGTGTTATGGAGGAAGTCTTGTGTTTGCAGAGGTTTCAACATTTAGTTTCAGTGAATCAGGTCCATGGAACATATTTGTTTTGTTTTTTATATCTACTTCTTGCATGCAGATGTTTTAGTGTAATGTACATAGGATACGGCTGTCATCCAAAATTTGCACATACCTTCATGATAGTTTTGCATATTGGAAATAAACACAAACCAATACAGTAACACTTACAATAATAATTAAAAAAGAAAAAGCCAAAAACAAAAATTATATTCTGAAGACAAAAGGTACAAAACAGACAAATGAAGCTAAAAAAATAATAAAATCTCAGTTTAAAATTTAACAGGAATAAAAGATATTAAATAAATGCTGCATCATCAAAAGTGGTCAAAACCATGTTGTAGTTTTATAACTGTACAACAAACTCAGTTTAAAAAGTGAAACTCATGATCTGTCACTTGAAGTTTTGCTAACAAATGTGCCCAGCGTGTTTGATAAAGTTGTCAAGTTGATGTAAACTAAGGTTCTGTTGATTGTAATAACATTTGGCTGCAGGATGAATTTATCATTTTATTCATTTTTTATGACAATATGCTGAGAAAACACCAACATCTCTTACATTGACTTCTGCCCCAGCAAATAAACAATTTAAACATATATCAAGTTATTCATACTCAAAATGAAATAAAAAATGAAGCTAAAACGAGAGCTTAATTAAAAAATAGTTATTAAAACTCACTCACATCTTTTAATCCTGTTCTAGAGGACTTTTTGTTTTGGACAACCGTGCAGCGATTATTCATTTTTACTGTTATTCACAATTAAATTTTCAATTCAGTTTATTTATATAGCGCCAAGTCACAACAGAAGTCATTTCTGGGCACTGAATAGAAACATTCATATATATAAAAATAATAATTTAACACTATTTATCTGAGAAGCACGAAGGCGACAGTGGAAAGGAAAAACTCCCTCATGAGGAAGAAACCTTTAGCAGAACCAGGCTCAGGACAAGTGGCCATCTGCTTCGACCGGCTGGGTTTGAAAGGAACGGATACACAATGGCAGGTCAAGAATCACATGTTAAGATAGAAATAATATCAAATGAAAACTGTTCAATTTTAACAATTCCTTTAAGGAAATGAGGTCAATAATTATTTTGTGTGAACAATGGTAGTGTGTCGTTTTCACGAGTTGGTTTTCACTGGACATTCTGTTTTTCTCCCGCAGTCCAAACAACAAAACATTTGTTAGAATAACTGGTCATTCTGAGTGAAACGAGCATGTGTGGTTGTTTGTCTTGGGTGTAATCGCTCTGCTGAACTCAGGACTGAAGTAAGATCCAGTTCATCAGACCTGACAAATGAAAGGGTCAAAATGTTATCTGTGTCTATTCTTCTGCTGCCTGTTTGCACAACAATTGTATTGCATTTTGAACGATTAAAGTAAAAAAAAATAATAATAAACGACACAAATTTAGATTTTCTGGTCAATTGATACTTCAGCAGCCGTGATCTCAAAATCCATCATGGCTGCCTCTCACATTAGTTTTTTTTTTTTTCTTTTTACTTCAGTTTGGAAGCTGTCATGCACCTTACCATGTCTGTGTGGGTTATTTTCCAAGTACTCAGAGTTATTGCCACAGCTCAAGGCACAGAGTGTGTCAAGAATCTTGAACCAAGCGTTTTTAATAAGTGCTCTCTGCATATTGGCACCAAACTTATGGTGTATCGTCTCAATGTATTTATAGTATACTACACCTCAGCTTTTATAAAGGACTTATTTCATACAGTGCAAAATACAGTGCTTATTTCTATTCAGGTAAATCTTTAAGTTGAAAGAGGAAATATAGCATTTGCCACGCTTTCAGGGTGTGAAGCTGCAGAAAGAAAAGCTCTGCAGAGAGTGGTGAAGGCTGCACAGAAGTCTGTAGTGGAGTCAGCCTCCCCATCACAGACATCTACATCTCCAGATGCAGGAAGAGGGCACCTGCATCATGAAGGACCCCACTCACCCAGCACACACTTTTTGCCTCGCTCCCCTAAAGCAGAAGGCTGGGGCGCATTAAGTGTAGAACCACTAGACTGAGGAACAGCTTCTACCCTGAAGCTGTTAGACTCATGAATCTCTAACAAGAAAAAACAGGAAAAAAAATCACTGGTGCCACCTTAACTGGTGATATGTGCTGCTGATTATCCATGCTGCTGATCTCATGCTGCTATATCATTCATACCCATCTGCTCACACACTCATGCTCGTGCTGCTATTGATACACCGTATAGTTTAACATTATTAGTGTTTAGTGTATATCTTAGATCTTTCAGCAAACCGTTTAGCGCATATCTCAGTTCCTTATATACCGTTTCTTTTTACACTTTATATTTTTGCTATATTTGGGTGTAACTGGGACCCCGAGTACACAATTTCGTTCCACCTCATGTACCACATGTGATGCGAATGACAATAAACTCGACTTGAATTTGAATGTTCTTACGAGAGTGTGCAGTCACTTGATCTTTATACGAGTTTTCAACCGTGTTGCAGCAGTTTCTGTGCCCTCACATGTGAGTTTATATGTTGCTAGTCCCTGCCATCAAATCTGGAAGAAAACGAGAGAGCATTCAGATTTCCTTTTAAATTAACGAACAAGCAATATTTTGGAACAGCCAGGTTTTCCACAAAAAGAGCAATAAGACATAAAAAAATAAGACTGGTTCACTCAAACTAGACAGAGTTCTAACTTGTTCAAGCCTCTAGGATAATTTGTGCTTGTGGTTTCCTCCATTCATTCTGAGTGAGATTAAGCTTTTTGTTAAGTAACACCTGACAGTTTTCTAAGGAAGTTCATTGCACCCAAGTGTATGACTCTCTACGACACCAGAACTGTACATTTTAACAAGAACAATTTAAAATATTTACAATTAAAATACCTGCATAAGACTCACAAAACAAACAACTAGTAACTGTTTTAAGTTTATAGCTAATTAGCAAAAGGAAACGCTTGAACATTGCGCAATAACTTGTAGACTGTTGTATTCAGTGTTACAGTTTCTTATAGAGGTACACAACTCCAGATATGTAGCCATGCTCGTGCTCCGACACCGCTCTCTCCCAGTCCTCCACGTCTGTGACCTCTAAACAAGTACAGAGCCCCTCTTCCTCCATCTTCTTCAGCTCCATCTCAAGATTAGCTTTGTACTCAGTGTTGTCCTTGTTACTTCTGGTTGTCATGCAGATGCAGCCACCTAGTGGAAAGATGCAAAAGTGCAGCAAAGTACAGTATGGTTGGAGCTCATTACCAGTAAAGATTAAGCAAAATAAAATTAAAATTACATAAATTCTGACCTGGTTTGGTGGCATTGAGCAGGTCTCTGGCCACTTGAACAGGTATATGACTATCACTCAAAGCCCCAACAATGACAACCACATCAAATGAACCTGCTGCAGGTGAGAAGAAAAAAATGTTTTAGAATTACACGAAAGGGTTTACCTACAAATGACTGGAGAATTCAATGTTCAATGTTTTTTTAATTAAGTTAATTATAAGGTCAGTAAATGCAGTTATTGCTCAGTAAAAGTGACAAAACACTGAACAGAAAAAAACATGTTTCATGAGGATCAACTAAAGAATCACAGTGACTGATGACCTGGAAGATCTTTGAAGATTTAATTACCGAACTGTTCAGGTAGAGGATCCTCCCCCAGCAGGGACTGCTTCAGGTCCTGGTACAACCCACTCTCTCTAGCCTTGTCCAGCATGGCCTCACATCCATCAACACCCACAAAATGTCTAAATCCATGTTTGCTCAGCTGTGCAACAAAGATATGCTTGCTTGTCAATCACATTGACAGTGAATGTGCCAAAAATTAAACAACGCTACTTGCAGAAACCAAATTAATGCAGTAGGCTCACATTATAGACAGTCACACAAAAGGCCTTTTTTTTTAAATGGTGTTATTGTGACTGGATTTTATTTTGCTTTGTAAATGGTCACAGTCTGATTAGTAACCTGTTTGGCCACCAGTCCAGTCCCACACGCCACATCCAACACAACGGCTGCTTCTCGCACGCCATTGAAATGTGATGCAATGCTGTCAGCTGCCAGACTCGGTGCACGGTAATCCAGAACAGCCACATCCTGTTTGGATTATAAGAAATAAATTACCGTGAGATTATTCCTCACACATTTATCTAAGGTACTTCATACCTGCATTTTATACAAGGAAACAACAGTGACACCTTTAGAAGAAATAAAAAGCTTTATTTTTAAGATGATCTTGCTCATTTGCTCATTTTAAATAACTACAAGAGTGCTGGTTTCTGTGTTTTAACACTGATGTAACTTTGCAAACTTTGTCTAAACATACTTTTTCCTTGTCAACCCACTGAACCACCATCCACCCACTCATGTATTCATGTGAAACACAACAGGCAGCACTTTGCTCTGATCCTGTTTAATATTTTTCCTCACCTGATCATAGGTCTCTGCCCAGGTGTTGTAGAACTTGATCTTTTCTCTTGAGGTGGTGCATTCATGAGCTGATAAAATGACTGCTTTCATACTTTCAAATGTGTTTGTATTTGCTGACATCATAAGAAAACCTGTTCATGCAAAAAATATAAATATATATAAAAATCGAAAATAAGGTGAATGCAAATGATGACTAATCATACGTATAGGTCATAGCCAAGCTACAGTAAAATCTAAAACCCAGTTAGTTCTGGTGAACCAATATTTAATGTTAAATTTATATTACAGTACTGCGAAGCTAAACGTAGCTTGTGTTTTAATTTGTACAGTTTGGATCTCTAAGTACTTACCTTGAATGCTAAGGAAGAGAAGAAAAGTCGCGTAATTCCAAACAGTTGTCCAAAAGTATTTTTTAGTTTTATATTTTTCCGAAGTTACAGCTTAAATGATCCAACCAAAAACCAGAAACACGAGTTAGCTATTCCCTCAGTTTAAACTCTCAGGTACGGATTCATTCAACCTTTATTTAGACAGGTTAATCTAAATAAAGATGCACTAGGGTCACGTTTTTATTTACCTAGTCCAAAAAAAATAAATAACCCGTGATGTGTGAACGGGTTTACAGTCTTTATGTAATCTTGTTTAACAGTAAAAGTCGTACAGCTAATTTGTTTGTATGAACTGATTCAAGTTTGGAAATACAGACGTCACATAATGCGACCGCTACTGTTCTTCTTCGTGGGTTTTCTTTGGCGGTTGGTAAAAAGAAAAGATTTCTGTGCATTACCGCCATCACCTGGTAAGGAGGCTACACTAAAAACAACAACAACATTCAAACGTTCAACATTTATTTATGCAGGTTAATCCCATTGAGCCTCGGGGACTCATTTACAAGAGAGACAAGAATTTTAACAAAGAGTGATGACAATAGAGGACAACAATAAACAAGTGAAAATAAAATGGTAATTAAAAAATATAATTAAAATGAAAAGTAGAGAAAAAAAACATCTCTGTTGTACTGTAGATATAAAACCCTGAGTACTGTCAGATTTTGAACTCTTCAGCAATAATTCAGTCAGATTAAACCTACTTTCACTATAGTGGAACTGTTAACATTTGAATTATTTCATATATGTATTTCTGGCAATATGAAAAAAAAAAAATCATGTTCTATGGTCTCGTCTTCTCCGCAGTTTTCAAATTGAGGCTACCTGTGTTAGTTTTCTCTGTAATTAATAATGTCCTATCCCATGGGCCCAAATCTGAAACGTGATATGACACGAGAAGTTCACAAGAGAAGATGTAAAAAATGGCCATTTCGCTTTCTTGGACTGTGAGGTCTCAGTCTCTGATAGAGGACAATTGCAAACTGAGGTGTACCGCAAACCCACCCACACAGACCAGTATTTGCAGTTTGACTCTCTCTCTCTCATAGGAGTCATCAGGACTCTGTACCACAGAGCAGACAGAGTTCCCACGAATTCAGGAGCCAGGCAAAAGGAGAAATCCCACACAAGACAGGCCCTGGAGCAATGGATATCCTGAATGGGACTTCCTGAAAGCAGAGAAAAAAACCCAAACAAGACTCAGTCAGCCATCAGATAAAAAAGGAGCAACCCAGACCAAACCAGTGGTCATTCTGTATGTTGTGGGAGTTTCAGAGAAACTGAGTTTATTTTCTAAACATGATGTCCCAGTGGCTTTTAAACCCCAAAATACATTACGGCAAAGACTGGTCCATCCCAAAGATCCAGTCCAGTAGCACAGAGTAATAACGTGTATGCTGTTCAGTGGAGGGCTGTGATCAGTCTTACATCGGGAAAACTAAACAGCCACTGGCCAAAAGGATGGCCCAGCACAGAAGAGCAACATCATCAGGCTCTGCGGTCTACACTCATCTCCAGGCCAGTGGTCACTCGTTCAGGGATGAAGATGTTCACATCCTGGACAGAGAGGAATGTTGGTTTGAGAGAGGTGAATGAAACCATCTTTGTGAAAAGAACCCGTCCATCATTAAACAGGGGTGAAGGCCTCCATGCTCAACCGTCCCCCTCTTACAATGCTGTTATTACTAGTATCACTCAGCCCCTGTAAGTGGCCATCAGAGCATTAGCGACCAATTGTTGGGCTAATGAGCTGTTTCATACTGTGTGAGTTGATTTAATATATCTTGTTCCATGTCTTCATTTTAATGCTGTTGTTTTAATTTTTTTAAGGTATATTCTTACTGCTTTTTATTTCTTAGTGTTACCCTTAGTGTTAAGCACTTTGATAACAGTCTATCTGTTTTAAATTGTGCTCTATAAATAAATATGACTTGACTTGGCTTGACTAATGGTTCATGTTAACAGCTAATTCTGGATGTCAACAGCAAACTGGTTGATCCATGATGAGAAGGTGCTATTTATAAGACTGAATTTGTTGCAGACAAAGTATTTTGGATAATGTTTCAACAAGTTTTTAATTTTCCTTTTATAATAATTATTTTTTAATCCATTCAGAGGACCTGACTTAACTTTGTTAGATCAGTAAAAGATGCCATACACACTGCGCCCCCCACCCCAATTAAGAAAGCATTCATTCAACCTTTATTTATACAGGTTAGTATCACTGAGCCACGAGAATTCATTTACAAGAAGGACCTGTTTTAAACAAAGAACACAGATGAGCTACAAACAACAATAGACAATCATAAAAAGCACATAAATTAAAAAGTAAATAGAATAAATGATATTAAAATTAAACAATATTAATATTAATATTATTCACCCTCATTGGTTACTTGCTGGCAGCACGGTGGCGCAACTGGTAGAGCTGCTGCCTCTCAGCGAGCAGGTTCTTGGTTCAAACCCCGGTCCAGGGGCCCTTCTGGGTGGAGTTTGCATGTTCTCTCCGTGCATGCGTGGGTTTTCTCCGGGTGCTCCGGTTTCCTCCCACAGACCAAAAACATGCATGTTAGGCTGATTGGTAACTCTAAATTGTCCCTAGGTGTGAGTGAGAGAGTAAATGGTTGTTTGTCTCGTTTGTCTCTATGTGGCCCTGTGATGGACTTGTGATCTGTCCAGGGTGTACCCCGCCCCTCGCACAGTGATTGCTGGACATGGGCACCAGCGACCCCCGTGACCCAAAATGGAATAAGCGGGTAAAGAAAATGGATGGATGGATGGATGGTTACTCATAATCTTTCTCCAGAGCTGCTATGTCCTCCCGAGCCTCTGAAAACCCCGTAATAAACAACAACAACAACAACAACAATACGTTGAGTTTGTCAACAATGAGTTTAAAAACTCACTACTATTCAATAGCTTTCAACACAAGATGATCTGTGTTTTGATCCTGTATGCTCCACACTGGTTTGTCGTCATTATCTGCATCGTTTTTTGTCTATATTCTGATTTACCTCATTTTGTATTTTGCTTTGTGTGTTACCTGTTGTTTTGTCTGTACAGCACTTTGGTTGGCTTTGTAGCTGTTTTAAGTGCTTTATAAATAAAGTGGTATGGTATGGTAACAATAATAATAATAATAATAATAATAATAAAATAAAGCAACCCACGAACCGGTTTAAAGTCATTATGTCATTTTATTTTACAGTGAAAGTCGTCAAAATATTATTTTCTTAGTTATTAATAAAAATAGTTCGACTTTGCATTCGCTGACACGATTATGCGAGGTATCTCTGTAATTTCCGACAACCTTTGAAGTAGACATGCGTTAGTATGTTTTGCGCATGCGCAGTTGCTCTATTCCTTAGCTGTTATTCATGTTCCCACCTGTAGAGAGCCTGAGAGTCAAAACAAAAATCTTCTGGAAAGTCCTTGTGATTTTTTTTTAACAGTAAGCTAACAAGCTAAATTTATAGCAGCCGATAGCTTCGAAAAGTTGTTACAAACGTAATTTATCACTACGTCTAAATCTATATTGTTTGGTGCATTACAATATGTGGGTCTCCCAAAAGTTCTGCTTTTTGTCCATCTTGTTTTGGTCTGTTTTTGTGTCGTAGCGGGACTGAAAACGCTGTTTTAAAGAGAAAAGTTAGCTTAGCATCGGCCACACAAAAGCCCAGCCTCCTCTGAGCCTTGGTGGACGGCAGAAGTCTTAACTTTACTCCCTGGTAATGGGCCTCTTTCATATCTTTCAGTGCTTTTCTGACCTTTGGAAAGAAGTAACATGTTTATTGATTCATGTTTAAAATCATCTAAAAATCAGTTTGTTGCTCAGTAGGTGCAGTTCTGTATGCTATTACTGACTGTTTACTTGTGTGATGTAGGTATGTAAACATGTGCTTTTTTTGTTTGTTTTTGTAGAAACACAATCAAAATGTCCATCCTAGGATTAAAGAAGAAACAACCAAAAACATTTAAAGTTAAAGTTATCACCATGGATGCTGAAATGGAGTTCAGCTGTGAGGTATACCTTTCATTCCCTGTCTTTAAATATAAGTTTATCTCTTTGTGGAGTACATCAATTTATATTCTATGTATGCATTTGACTGTTAATAGCAATCATATATATATATATGCAGAATTTACCATCTTTACTCAAGTAATAATAATGTATCTGGATTTAAATATATATATATATAAGTCAGGTTTGCACCCCCCTCGCAAACAGAAAGATATTTAAATTTCTGCTCAGGTCCTGACTCATCTAATTTCATGATCAATTAAGACAGCAGGTTCAGTTTGTGTAGTAGCTTCACTCATCAAAACTGTGTTTTATTATGTTGGGAGGGTTAAACAGAGAAACGGTATTAGTTTGAACTCATACCAGAACTACAAACACTGCAAGAGTATGTGCATGTGCCATTGTGTTAAATGACATTTAGGATTCATGTTCAGGGGAAAGAAACGTTTTACTGATATGAATGTTTATATGTATGTGATAATACAAAGGAGAACGGCTGTGCATGCTGTGTGACTCGTTGTTTTTAGGGAAAACAAGCATGCAAAACTGATCAGATACTTTAAACGTGCAACAAGTGTAAAACGACAAGAAAAAGCATAATATCAACAGGGACAGATGATGGTGGGAGCGTTTCAAATGTAGAAATAGACAAAGTTATTCACAAAAACAAATCTGAAATAATATTACATTACAACATATTGAACAAAGAACTGCCATTTTCTAAATTAAGTATTCAGTTGTTAAAATAAATCACTGAAATGCTACATTTCATACTACGGGTAGTTAAGACATGAGGGTAAAACAAGAAGTGATGGATGTTCAGTCAAGCAAACTTTATTTGGCTTGTAGTGACATGATGTTTTTGTTTGTTTGTTTGATCACTTAGTTGTAATCGCTTTTAAAATAAATTGGCAAACTTATGGAAATGCACTCTTGTATTCAGAGAGAAAAGTTAAGGTTAACGATTGATGTCTTTAATATTTTTTCAAATCACAATTTATCGTTGTGACTTTTATTTTTAGAAAATAGCTTAGTGTTAAATGTAAGCTAGCACTTTTTCTGTTTTTGTCATTTAAAATATATATTTCTAAAGTCTCAGACACAATAAACATCTTTTTGATGTGATGAAACAAACATGGCCAGCAGAGGGCAGCAGTGCCACTGACATAAAAACTGTCCTTTTTAGGGGCTGCAGGATTGTTCATCTTTTAACTGTTTTGTCTCATTTGTTTTCATACGTCCTCCAGGTTAAATGGAAAGGTAAAGACCTGTTTGACCTGGTGTGTCGGACTGTTGGTCTGAGGGAGACCTGGTTTTTTGGACTCAGGTACACAGTGAAGGACACTTACGCCTGGCTGAAGCTAGAGAAGCGGGTGAGCAAGGAGCTGAATGTGAGATCAAAGCATTTAAATGTGCACAAATCCAGCAAGAGGGAAATCTGAATGCTGGAGTGAAGCACTTCTGAACATTTTTAAATTTTAAGTTGGTAAAATAGGTTGTTTCTTGTTTCCAGCTGCACTGAGTGTGATGCATCGTAATTGTTGTAAGAGTCAAGATAAAAAAATAAAATAAAATCACGTTCTTCTCTTGTTTATGTGTTCAACAAGGTTCTGGACCAGGAGGTACCCAAGGACTCGCCCATAACATTTCATTTTCTGGCTAAGTTCTTCCCTGAAAAAGTAGAAGAGGAACTGGTGCAAGAAATTACTCAACACCTCTTTTTCTTACAGGTAACATCTCTTTTAAAATGACAATGAACTGGTTTCTTTAGGCTAATACTTCAAGAATGTTTGAGGAGAATAGCTCAAGGTGTTATTAAACCTTTTTTTTTTTTTAGGTGAAAAAGCAGATTTTAGATGAAGAGATATTCTGCTCTCCTGAAGCCTCAGTTCTCTTGGCGTCGTATGCCGTCCAGGCAAAGGTGAGAAGTTCATCCAGGATCAGATTCTTGTTGCGTCTGTATCGAGATTTCATGTTAAAATATGTTTATTGCACTCCACTACAAGATTTTATATGTCAGTGTATCTTTTTTCTCAATAAGCAATTTGTTCTCCTTTTGTCAATCAACCAACCTGCTCAATTTTTATCCCAGTATGGGGACTATGACCCAAACTTTCATAAGCCGGGCTTCCTTGCACAAGACGAGCTGTTGCCAAAAAGGGTAAATATACAATCTGTGTCCATATTTCTAAAGAAACCGATTCATTTATTGATTCTCTGCCCCATGAGTCAGTATTTTCCTGCTTCTGTCTGCGGGCTCGGTGTATAACGTCCTCCCTGTGGTCGTTCCAGGTTCTGATGCAGTACCAAATGACAGCTGACATGTGGGAGGAGAAGATCACAGCTTGGTATGCTGAACACAGAGGCATCGCCAGGTAGGATCACCACCAGAACTTGACCTCCTAACTCAAGGTGTGGGTTTATAGTTAAATGTTATGTCCCTCTTGCTTGTTCTTATGTTATCCATCCAGGGACGAAGCTGAGATGGAATACTTAAAGATTGCTCAGGACCTTGAAATGTACGGCGTCAGCTACTTTGCCATTACTGTGAGTGTCAGTCGCTGACGTAAAGTTAAAATTTGCATGTTGACATTGAAAACACAACGTTTAACTTTGCTGTTGTTTCGTTTACGTCATCAGCAAAATAAAAGGGACACAGAGCTGTTGCTTGGCGTTGATGCTCAGGGTCTTCATATCTACAATCCCAACAATAAACTCAACCCCAACAAGTCTTTCCCCTGGAGCGGGATCCGTAACATCTCCTACAGTGAGAAGGAGGTAAAGTCGGCTTTATTTAAGGCTTCCTTTAGCTCAGACCAGCCGTCGTTATAAATACAGAATTGGATTAATAGTCCTGGAACACATCTGACATTTCTTACTGATAGGGAAAAAAAAGCTTAATTTCCACTAAAATTATTGAGTAAAGAAAATGTAGCATTTATAAAAAATCTTCTAAAATGCTATAAATTATGAGCTTTAAAATTCTAAATCAGGCACAAAGGCTTGAACGTTTTTAATCAGGATTTCCAGAAACTTTTTAAAGTTTTTTGATTGGGGGAGGGCGGGGTTGAACCATTTTTAAGCCATTGCTTATGAAAAACATCTGTGTTATTTATATTTTTAAAGCTTCTTAGTTGAAAATTTGGTGACGCATTAACGCTAAGCTAAGCCCACACCTATAGAAAACCTGCTGTTACTGTAGCAGCGATAAGTCCGGAAGGAGATATTTTTAAAAATTATTATGATTATTATTAATCCCCAATGAAAAATTAAATTCTCTGCATTTTTCTCATAACACGTGAGCAGAGGGGCTGCCATCTAAATGTGCTTGGGGTGCAGCTGAGGGTTAAGGGCCTTGCTCAAGGGCCCACAGCAGGGCTAATGAAGGTTAGCAGACGTAGGTGCTTTACCTTCCCTACCCAAATTTGTTTTGTTCTGGTATGGGGATTCAAACCTGCAACCTCCTGATCACAGGCTTGCCACCACTCCCCCAAATGTTGGAAATGTTTAGCAAGATATTTTTCTAGCGCTCCAGAGCAAAACCGTAGAAAAGGCGGTAAAAACAAAACCTTTTATTTCTGCACTTGTTTTGACATTTACACTGGGATCTGTGCGGCATCCAGTTGTGGTCTGACTGTTTTCCAGCTGTGGTCTGCAGTTGTTTTGTTTAGCAAATAAATTGATAGACATAAAAATTATGTATATTTTTATTATGTTCAAACATTTGTTTCTCAGTGCAGGGATCACTGTTTACGTAGTTAAAGAACAAACTCAATTTACTCTTAAGTATTTTATGGATAAAACATTTACCATTTTGTCACAACTGGTAAAATTTAACGGGGCAGTGAAAGATCGCACTAAACGTTTGTTTTCATTTGCTTACAGTTTACAATCAAACCTCTGGACAAGAAGAAAGATGTTTTTAAGTTTTACTCGTCTCAGTTGCGTGTCAACAAGCTGGTTGGTTTGCCTCTTTGAAAGTCAAATTATTATAAAATAAGTTATTTAAAACATGTTGGAAGCAAATGATGTCACGTCCTGTGTGTCAGATTTTGCAGCTCTGCATCGGGAACCACGATTTGTTCATGAGGAGGAGAAAGGTGGACTCGATTGAAGTGCAGCAGATGAAGGCTCAGGCTAAAGAGGAGAAGGCCCGCAAGAAGGTCGGAAATAATGAGTGTATTTAGTCTAAAATTATATGTGCACAACGTGCAACCAAAGTTCTTTTGATCTTGTTAGATTGTCCAAATTGTGCGTTATTTTATTCTTGGATTCCCTCTAGATGGAACGTCAGATCCTGGCCCGGGAGAAGCAGATGAGGGAGGAAGCAGAACGAGCAAAAGAAGAGATGGAGCGAAGACTTTTCCAACTGCAGGACGAGGCTCGGCTTGCCAACGAGGCGCTGGTGAGCTCTTCATTACTCATCAAACTTTAATGTTGGATTTCTAAGATGGTTAGATGATGTTGGAGCTTTAATGACTGAAATGGTGAGCGAACTTGTCTTAAGAAAAAAAAACCCAATTTGCTCTTTATTCACAATTTGCTCTAACGTTTTTAATGAGTAAATGTGTTAATGCAGCTGCGATCTGAGGAGACGGCAGACCTGCTGGCAGAGAAGGCCCAGATAGCTGAAGAGGAAGCCAAGCTTTTGGCTCACAAGGCTGCAGATGCTGAGCAGGAAAGACAGAGGTTAGAGGTCACAGCCATGAAGACCAAGGAGGAGAAAAGGCTGATGGAGCAGAAGATGAGGGAGGCGGAGCAGCTGGCAGTAAAACTGGTGGAGCAGTCAGAGAGGAGGTCTGAAATGATCCTAACAAGCGCTGCTTTACTCCAACGTTCACTAAAATTAATTACTGCCTCCTTCACAACTTTTCATTATGTCCTATTTATTTTGTGTTTTCACTCATTTATGCACAAGTGATTAAGCTTCAGCATTATTTGGCTTCAAAATGATGAATGAAAGGCTGTTAATCATAGTACTGTGGTGATATTTTCCCTAAAAAATGTCAAGGTTAAATGGCAAAATTCAGTGAAACGTGTGTCACTTCCTGCGTTTATAGTCTCACGATGAACCGAAACGCTCCGAGCATTAAAACCAGTGTAGCAGAACAATCTTTTGAAATATGGATTCTTCTTCAGGCTGTACTGACAGTAACAGACAGCAGCTCGAGATTCTGATGTGTTAAATGGGCATCACTAATGTAATAACCTCACTTTCTTCTGTCTCGTCCCCTCTTTTCATATTTAGTTTATGAGACAGCTCATGTTGAGCTCATTTGAAGCCTGTAGAGTAGTCTGATAAATTATAGTGGTTATTATTTAATTAAATCAGTTACAGTTTAATGTTTTGGATAGATCTAAGGTATATTCTCTCTTTCGCCTTCGATGAAGACAGTTGCTCTTACCCTTCCTCCCTCCTGCTTTTTTTACTCTCTTGTCCTGTCAACCTCAGAGCCTCTCTTTACACATCTTCTGAATCGAAAATTATTATGGATTTGGTCAACTGGTCCCTCAACGCAATTGATAAAACTTTCCACCAGACGACAGGGTGCTGGAGAGCCCTCATGCCCTGAACGGACCCACGCAGTTGCGTATGCCATTGATTCCTGGAGTGAGTGGAAGATGGTGTGCCTATCTGTGGTGAGGACGTAGAAGATGTGTACATTATTGGATTTATGATAACAGGGTGCTTTTTGGAATCGGTGGATACCTTGAATATCGACAAATTGGGAAGACGTCAGCAGCAGTTTCAGCTATGGTAAAGCTGCCGGCCTTATGTGAAGGATTAATCTGTGCCTCGAGCTCTCAGACTCATGCTTACTGAGCTCAACCGCAAACTGGACGCAATTTCTGGGAATCGTAGACCCCTTGCGGCTCCTGGAACTCGCCAGCATGAAGGTTTCAATCTTGGAGAAAGCTAATCAAGCACGGACCAGGCGGAATGTCCATAAATCTGTCTTGTTTGGATTCACCATTGAGCGTACCAGCAGAACATGAAGTCAGACGAAACAGAGTGGCGGCTCAAACTGTTGTTTTATCTGAATTTGGCCTCCCTGCTGGCCTTGGACAGGCCAACTTATCTCAAATTTCTCCTGGAGGATATGAAGCTAGAAGCTCTTGCACTTGCTCACAGTCAGTATTTTGTGATTCGTTGTGAACTAGAACATGGGTATTCAACTAAATTGCTCAGGGGGCCAGTTACTGAAAGCCAAGAGCTCAGGGGCCGGACATCCAGCAGTTACTGTCATTAATTAATAAGTTTGTTTTATGGTTTAAAATCTGTTTTTTGTTTTTTAATGAACCCATTGGTGGGCCGAACGGAGCTCACTCGTGGGCCTGATTTGGCCCCTGGGCCACCAGTTGAATAACCCTGGTCTAAATATATTCATGCCTACTACTTAGCTCTCAAACCTGCTGCTGGGTTTCATAAACTAGAATTTAAATGGAAGGAAGTCATCTAGTCTAAACCAGGTTAACGTGTACTTGTTTCAGAACTTTAATTGGATTTAAAGTGAGAAGTTTTGCTTAAATCCATGTCTGCCTAAATATTATGTATTCGTAAAGTACTGACTGCTGTCTAGATGTAACGTAGACTGATAAAAACAGGTTAGGCACATGTTAGTGCTACGATCTATTCAAAAACAATAGTGATTTTTGTTTTATCTTTTAAGTTTTTTTGTCAGTTGAGACTTCAAATCAAAAACGTTTCAAAGTATTTAGGTTTTAGATTGTGGTTCTTCTACTTCACTTATCCTGGACTTGTCTAAAAGTGGATTCAGTGGGTCTAGCTGCAGCAAACTGAATTGATTGGATACAGTTTATAAAATGTGCACTTCTATTTGTGTTATTTATATATTAACTCTTTGGAACCATCTCTTATTTAACCACAAACCATTTTGGAAACATTCGTTCTTTTTTAGAACCTGATGATTCTGAGTGCCCAAAGGTTTGATATTAAATTGAAGTGGAGGTTTGACATGAACTAGTAACGATAAAGATTAGTTTTACTCTTCAGTCCTTATAATGCTAGCTGTCTCAGCTTTTATGTTTTTGTCATTTTACACGACGTGCATCAAGCTGTTAATCAAAACACTGCAAGTATTTTTGTCAGTGGTAATATTTTCTGCCATTTAACATTTAAAACAATTAGATTTGCCCTAAATTTACTTATACAAGAAAACTGATCAGACCTAATTTATTTCCAGGCTGAAGGAAGCTGATCACCTGAAGCAGGACCTGACCGAAGCTAAAGATGCCGAACGAAGAGCTAAACAGAAGCTGCTGGAGATCACCAAGACAACATACCCTGTATGTGATCATTATAGGGCTGCTTTGTTCTTTTTATCAATCTTTTTGTTTATTCAGACAAATGCAGTTGTTTGTTTAAAGGTTATTTGTTTCTTTGAGGCATAAATGCTCTCAGATTGCACTTATTTTAAGAACTGAGGTTAGTGGGGATGCTTTAAAGATTATTTATGAGCTGAGAAACTGAAGACAGTCTGAATCATCCAAGTTGACTCATTTTGTTTCTAAATTCAGATGATTCTCGTGAAGATTGTCTCTCCATTTATGAGACCCAGGAGAAAATATTCATACTTATCAATAATCAAGTAGTATCTCTTATCAGGTTTTAATTTTTGGAAAGCGATAGATAATGTGTTTTTAGTAAAGGGGAAATGTTTTAGCAACTGTGTGCACAAAATATCCAGATTCATGCTCAATAATCCAGGTAGAAAAATCCAACAAAGTTCAGTCAGGTCTTTTGGACTGTTTCTTTTTGTTGAAACGTTTCATCTTTCATCCAAAGGACTTCATCAGTCCGAGGAGCTGCAACAAACTCGGCTTATAAATAGAACCTTCCCATAGTGGGTCAACCAGTTTGATGGCGCTCAGATGGTTTCTGGAGTCCACCCTCTCCCCCGCCGACTCGTTTGAGGCATTCATGGCCAAAGTGCATTTGTTAAGCTGAGACTGTTGTGGCTCCTCGTACTGAAGAAGTCTTTTGGATGAAAGATGAAACATGTCAACACAAAGAAACCATCCTGAGGACCTGACTTTGTCGAAGTGTGCACAAAAATGAATCATCTCTGGCGCAAACTGGTGTCTTAAAAATGAAAGAAAATGAATGTTGACGCCACTAAACTTATTTTAGGGTAAAATCTTAAGAGAAAAGTTTTAGTATCACTCACTTTAGACTTTCATATACGAGTGACAGAATAAAAAATGTGGTGTATCGGCGTTGTTCATTCAGAACAGCTTCAGTCAGTTGATTCAGTGTGTTAAACGTGCTAGTGTGACGCGCTTCACGTCTTTAAAGCATCATGATGTGTTTACCTGTCCTCCAGCTCATTGCAGCCTACTCTACCCCCCCTGCTCCTCCTGAACCGGCCGACTTGAGCTATGAGTCAGCCTCTTCACGCCTCGACTTCAAGGACTCGGACATGAAGAGGCTGTCTATAGAGATCGAGAGAGAGAGGTGAGCTGCTGATTAAAACCCCAGCAGGATCGTTTTAGACATGGCTTGTGTTTGATGTTGTCGTGCGTGTACCCAGGCTGGAGTATATGGAGAAGAGCAAACACCTGCAGGATCAGCTGAAGGAGCTGAAGTCTGAGATCGAGTCCCTGAAACTGGAGGAGCAGCAGCAGCAGGCCAGCTTGTACGGCCTCCACGGTGAGGCCAGGGGATACGTCCAAGAACAGCCTGTCTACTTACCTCACAGCAACGTGCGTATTCTTTTTATTATCGCTAAAATAATGAGTCATTGAGGATCTGTCCAAATGCTAAACACATCGATGCCTTTCTTTAAACTAATAAAATCAAATGTGTTTCTTGTTTTAACATCGTGCTGTTCCACTTATTTCTTCTTCAACTATAATTTAATTTGATGTATTATGTAGTCGTTACGCTGCAGCCATCAGAAAGCTGTGCAGGACTAGAGTATTTTATTTGTAACGAGGAAGATTGCGTACAAAAGTCACCTACAAAATCGTTTTATTTTCTTGTGTCTTTGTGTGGATGGCCCAGCAGTGACAAACACTGCAATAAAGGTGAATATCCAGATGTGAAATCCTTGTTTACTGTCAGTAATCAGCTCTGTGAGCAGATGCGTCTGCACACATCGTATCAGACGATCGTGACCGTGATCACAACTTTTTAATCCCCCGGCAACAGAACAGACACCCGTGTTCTCCCAGAGCACGTTCGTTTCCAGCAATAAACAGGATTTGACACGGACTCACTTTATGCTTTAAAACTAAAAATATTAAAAACAGACGTGCCAGTATCTCCGCAGTGATAAGACTGATGAAGCTCTTCACCATTAAAAACTGAAAGACAGTGCAATGCTTCCTCATAATGTCACACAGGGTGTTTTTCTGTGGCTAATATTTATACACCAAATATCTCGCATGCAGAAGCAACAGCCTGCCTGATTCCCTAAAGAGAGAGTTCAGATTTATTTTAATTAGTTTTGACCAGAGTTTAGAGAATCATCATGAAATCCTCATGGAGAAGCTAAGCTAATAGCTTCCCAGAATAGGGTTGGTTTAAAAAGACATTTCCGCCATTCAAAGAAACTCAAACCCTGAAAAATGCTATGACTGAACAGTTAACACGTAGGCGAACGACTTCAGGTTATGTTTCAACACAAACCGCCTTCAGTAATCGTAGACAGCCACGTAGAGAATCATCTGATACAAAAGTGATGCAGCGTGAATCTACAAAGATAAAAACATGAACCACTGAGATGATGATGAGCTCTGAGCTGCTTTAGATTGTTAAAATGTGTTCCTAGATGGGCCTGCACTGAAACAGTTGTTGTTTCTTGAGAATTTCTCCCTGATTCTTTAAACTGGTGTTGTTCTGGCTGCTGGCTGCAGCAGGTTAGATGCTAAAAACGATTTAGAAAGCCAAAATCTGTTGAGGCGTCTTCATGATAACTGAACAGAAATCCCCCCTTGACTCAACAATATACTGTATACACAGTAGTCTCTCGCTACTTCGTGGTTCGTTTATCGTGGACTCGCTCTATCAAGATTTTTCAAAATAAGATTAGACATGACACACAATTGGCTGATTGATGGATGAGCCGCACAATCGGCATGAAAGTTTTATTTAAAATAAATTATTTTAAATTATTTAGCACCTGCTGCACATTTGTGCAGCCCAGAGCTGCAGGATAAACTTCCTGCTGCAGCTGATCAGCTGTTCTCTTTCAGAGCAGAGAAGTGGGCGTGGCCAAGAGCCACTTGCAGGTGGCAAAGAGCAGATGAGGTAGGGAGCTGAAATCATGACATGCTGTGTTCTTTTAGAGCATTTAGAGTTTAGAAACATCGTTTAGAATATTGCAAAAGTGTGGGAAGGGATTAAAACACCTTTATACACACATACACACACACACACACACACATATATATATATATATATATATATTCCAGTTTTCGTGGGTTTCATGAGCTGGAAGCCCAAATTATGTAAAAATAAACAAATAAATACTTGAAATCGTTTAAATTACGAGTCCTGAATCTATCATCTATTATAGTTTACACTTTTTGAATGGAATTATGGAAGTTAAACAACTTTTCCATGATGTTCTAATTTTTGGAAAGGGTCTGTATACTAAAATAAACATCTACTTACTACTTGTACTACGATTCCTACGTCACATTTTTTTAACTTATCGTGGGGCTTCAGGGTATGGATCCCCCGTGATAAACGAGGGACTACTGTATATATATATGGTTTGTCACTTAAACACTAAATAAATGTATTTTTCGTTTTATGGTTTTTCACCTCTTTAGCTTTTTTTGACCGACTGCTTGTCTTGTTTTTCAGCGAAACTCTGCGTACATGTCTCAGATGGCCTTGTTTGAAGAAGTGTGATCTTGGTCTTCCCAAACGAACATGAAGAGGACATCTGAAGCTGCCAGTTAGCCCTCAACATGTTTGGTTAAGTTTATTTGACTGAAACTAGCAGCATACAGAGGCATGCTCTGACTGACTTCAGGTCTGTCCTAACAGACAGACAGACACCACCTGCTACACCGCTGCAGCTTGGCCCTTTCTGTTACATGCAGAGAACAATGTGTGACATTTATTTGCCACTGATTCAAGACGCCTTACTGAAGATGAACACGTTTTTATAAAATGTACTTTGTGTGGTTTAATGAGCTATAGGTAGTAAGATATAAACCCATCAGTCATAGAATTATGACCATGTTGAGGCATTTTCGTTCTTTTCCAATTTTGCCACTGACAAAGCTCTTAGAGAATCAACACTTAGGGCAGTGTTTGGGTCTGGTACGGTCTAAACAGAACCTCTACGCCCAAATACTTTGGGTTTGGGGTCTGTTTGAATTGGTCTTAGTTCTCACGGTGCTGTCAGATCCTGTCACGTGAGGATTTTTAAGGTTGGGTGAACACTGTGGTCTCTGGTGTTCTTCAAACCATTTTTGTGCCGTTGTAGAGGAGTTCACTGCTGTGGAGTGCTGAGTAGCACTGTTGCCATAAACGGTGATTGGACTATAAGCATCTTTAGGTTTTTGGAAAGTGTCAAAGTAAAGGGGCAGATTTAAGTGGGGGTCTGTAGAAGTGTTTGGAATAAATTGATAAGTTGTAGATAGCTCTTTTGATAAGCTCTGTTTGGAGAAATAGTTTGGCTTTGACCAGATTAACGAGCTAACAGCTAGTATGAGCAATGTCACAAAAGAAATGTGTTACTGCCGTATTAAATCGATGCCATTCTCAAATATTTTATAGCAGTTCATGCAAAAACTGTTTTATAAACCTTTTACATCACTGTCTGTTCCTTATTAGTTGCTCCAGCAGAAATATTTTCATATTCTAAGTGCTTCAGGCTACACCTAAAGCGCTACGGCTAGTTTCTGCTGTTGCCATGTGGGCTTGAAAATGACCACAGAATACATGTAATAATGTGAAGTTGATGGCAGTGAAGGTTTCTAAAATGTGTTTGCATGAATCTCTATGAAATTTGGTTTTGGTCCTGCTAGAACTATCCGGTCTGGTCAGAAATGATCTTTTGTTTTCTCCAAACTGAGGGTGTTCAAAGAGCTATCTATAACAGGTAAGATATTAAATCTTTCTATATAACCCACTTCAAAAGATCTGAACTGTCACTTTACCATTCATGTGAATGCAGGATTTCATTGCTGAATATTACGTTAAAGAGAATGAACAGTGTTGCTCCTGTTTCTCCCGTCAGCGGTCATAATGTTATGGCAGATGAAAGCCTATTTTCAGATGTTATTCTGTACTGAGAGACGGAATAATATTTTTAAAACGTTATATCCCTGAAGTCAATTATTTTTTTTCTATCTAAAAGCAAAAACATAAAAAAAAAAACAATTATTGGGTTTAGGAAGTTTAACTTGAAAATAATAAAAAACACAGCAGATAAAATATGATCAGTAAATGTTTAGGACGTTATTGTAGAATTGCGTATATTTTAGCCCACATCAATGTCTACATTGCAGAAGCAGATGATGTTTGTGTTAAATTCAGTATTTAATTTCTATTTTCTTTAATGGTTTTACCTCCTGAACCACCTCTACTGCTTTCACACAGGTGCCTTGAGCTCTTTGTTGTTCATAGATGTGTATTAAATAGTTAAAGACTCAAACGTTGACAATTCAAATTTATATATTTTTTGTACTCCAGACTGCTGATGCGCCTTGAACTTTGCCTTTGCTGAGATTGTAGAGACTAATGTTTTATTTTCCTGTATCACAGTAACGGTTTAAAGGTCTTGAGCCACTCGTCATTTCTTTATTCGTTTTTGAGGCAAATTTTAAAGGAATTGGACATGGCTCAGCATTTCTGCACAGTTTATTGTATGTCTTAGCTTTAGGGTTGCATTGACTTTGAGGTTATCTTTTCTGAATTCACAAATGCAAAATGGCAGTTTCCTATTTTCCATGCATTTCTCAGGATTATTGTTGGAGACAATCACAGCTGGTAGAATCTCATTAGTCCCCCCCAGGACACACGGTTTAGCATAGGTTATAATAGCTTGACTGATACTGAATATTTAGGGCAAATCCTGACTTTTAGAAAGAAACAAGTTCCTGTAGTAAAATTAACAATGTTCACGGAGACAGCTCCTAAATTATCTCAAGATGCAGTTCACTTTTTGTGTGCCGTATTTTTCGGACTAAGGCGCACCAGATTATAAGGCGCAATATCGATGAACGGGTCAGTTTTCATACATAAGGTGCATCAAGTGAAATAAAACAGTCAGATAAGTCAAACTTTATTCAACTCATTCACAGTAACGCAACACTGTTCGGTTGTAACACATAAAATCGGTTCGAGGTCAGTAAGCACAACCAGAATTAATACATAAGGCGCACTTGATTATAAGGCTCGCTGTTGATTTTTGAGCAAATTAAAGGGTTTTTAGTGTGCCTTATAGTCCGAAAAATATGGTATTCTTTTTGAAGGTGTAAAATATTGTTAGAGAACTGCTGAGAGTTATGGTTGAGCTCCATAATGTTAAAGCTCAACTCAAACTGAAAGGGAAATCTGAGGGACAGCCTTTCAAACTGCTCATAAATCAGTTCAGACTAGGCCTGTCGCAATAAACAATAAATCAATTAATCGCATGATAAATGAAAATTATCGACCTCGTTTTCATTTATCGGTTTTATCGTTTCTTCGTGTCTCTCTCTTTCTACTGAAGACACTGGATGACAAAAAACTCAACTCCGGTGCTCTTCACTGACCCCTCCATTTCTCTTTTCTGTTTAAAATCCATTTTAACTGTTCAAAATTGTGTGTTTGGATCATTAAAAGCAGCTAAGCTACGAGCTAAGCTAACAGGCCGACCTCTGGAGAAAACCTCCGTCTTTTCGAAGCTCCAAAATTCACGGCTGAAACTTGTGCCTTCATGTTAAAAGTTGTTTTTCTCTGAAAAAAGAAGCTGAGAACTTGTTTGCTGATTTTTTTTTTTTAATTAAATGCTTTGTGTGACAAATGCTATGCTAAAGAGCTCAAACCACACCGAGCGTCCACCATTTTGAGAACCAAAGAGAGACAGCCCATGTCACGTCAAAGGGCCTCCCTCCCATTTTTCTTAAGAGACACGCTGCTCGCTCCCTCACTATCCATCCTTTGGTTCAAACTGTTTATACTGCCATCCAGTGGTCGAAAAAAGTACTATATGCAAAACAAATTCAACATTTCTTCTTAAATTTGACAATAATTGCTAATTATTGTCAAATTTCAAACAATATTATCGTTTATCGCAATAATTTCTGAGAATTTATCGCCCAGCAAAATTTGTTATCGTGACAGCCCTAGTTCAGACTCCGATTGATGTTTGTTCTTTGTCTTTTTAACCAAAGATGTTGCTTTGTTTAGTGTGGGGGGAACAAAATCTATAGCTTGAGGTACGAATGTGTGCTTCATGCTGAGTCAACAAAGAGTTTATAAATTTGGAACTGTGAGGCAGAGAAGCTCTGGAGTTGAGCGTTAATACACTATCATGTTAAAAGCAACTAGTTTGGTATTTTATTGCGATTTTAAACTTCAGGTGTAAATTTTGCACATTAGAAGCGTTATCAGCCAACTGTATCAGTCAGGCATTGAGTGTTAAACTGTAATAAATGTTTTATTTGTTACAAACTTAATGGAAGTTGTTGAATCTGCAGCTCAAAAACACTAAATGTGCATCATATTTTGTAAAAGGGAAGACGACTGAATGCAAAATGGTTCATCCTGAGATTCTGCATGTTTCTATATCAAACCTCTACTGAACACTGACAGCTGGTGGTTTGTTTTATTATTATGGGACGGGGGAACTTTATTAACGATGAACACTAATTCTGGTCTTGTGTCAACTGAATTTGTATTATAAATCCGCAATCACATTTCTAAAGGTTTACAGTTCAGAAATGTTTTATTTTTCTGTATAAAGTTTTCTAACCACATTGCCGTTCAATAAGAAGGGTGTGTTTACTTTGGAGTGGAACAAAATGTTACAATCACGTAAAAAAAAGTTGTTTGGTCAGTTCTTTACAATCTGTTGTTTTGTGTTTTATCATTTCATGATGATGATGATGATGTTTCTGTGATTAACTCTTGCCTCTTAATTTGTCTGTAAACTGCATGAACTACTTCATTAAGACCACACACTCCTGACAGCAGAATATTCTTAAACCATATTGTAATCTGCATTTGATTAAAACACGGATACTGAAATCAGTCTGGTGCCTGTTTGGCTGAGGCCAGACGTTTTTATTTTCTTGTTCTCCTCGTGTTTGTGGTTTTAAACGTTTAAAAATGACGTAGAAGCCAAATGAAGAACGCAGAGCCTTGAACTTTTCTCCACTTTGTCACTTTACAGTCACAAGCTTCAAAGCATTTTACTGAGATTTTATGTGACAAAGCAACACAAACATATGCATTTGTGTGTGTGGGGGTGGGATTTTAAACATTTTTAACAGATAAAAATCTGAAAAAATGTGTGTTTCTTTTCAGTCCCACAAGTCAATCCTTCGTAAAATTTGTAGAACCACCTTTCTCTGCAATTACATGCAGGTCTTTAGGGGTTGATCTGCACATCTCATGGATTAAGAGCTGGACTTGGACTGGAATAGTCTTACACAAGAACTCGATCTGATCTAAACCATTCCTTTGTAGCTCTGGCTGTATGTTCAGGGTCATCGTCCTGCTGGAAGGTGAACCTCTATCTCAGTCTCGTCTTTTGCACATCTAGAGGGTGACGTTTCTTTGCACAATAAGCATTTGTGAACACCGTAGTTTATACGGACCGGGGGTGAGGCCCACACAGCAGGTGGGCATGGACTAGTTTTCAGTGCTGCGCGCGAAGGGATAAACCCACTGTTGATAGCCTTAAAGGGCGAAGCCTATACAAAATAGAACAGCAGCTTTCAAGATTGAACTTGGGTCTGGACTTTGGGATGTTCAAAGCTTGGGATGTAGTTTTATCATATAACCCTTCTTCAAAATTCTCATCCACTTTATCCTTGGCTTGTCTGGTTGATGCTGTTTGATCACTGCTGTTCAAGGTTCTTTAATGTCATTTGCATCACATGGTACATGAGGTGGAACGAAATTGTGTACACAGAGTCTCAGTTACAT